TAACCTCATTTGTAATACCGAAAGGTTTTGGTCCTTGTTTTGTTGGTTTCCCTTTGCCAGAGACCGCGCCCTGCTCCGGCGCCATCAACACCGTGCTCTGCTCCAGCGTCCCTGACACCGTGCTCTGCTTCGGCGTTCCCAACACCATGATCTGCTTCGGCGTCCACGACACTGCGCTCTGCTCCAGCGTCCCTGACACCGCGCTCTGCTCCAGCGTCCCTGACACCGCGCTCTGCTCCAGCGTCCCTGACACCGTGCTCTGCTCCAGCGTCCCTGACACCGCGCTCTGCTCCAGCGTCCCTGACAATGTGCTCTGCTTCGGCGTTCCCAACACCATGATCTGCTTCGGCGTCCACGACACTGCGCTCTGCTCCAGCGTCCTCGACACTGCACTCTGCTCCGGCTCTGGTAGAGTGGTCTCTGAGACCATTGGTCCTTGCATTGAAAGCTCTGTTAGTAATCTACTTTCAAGAGGCATTATATGCACTTTTTTCAAAGACATTTTTGCTGAGTACTTCTGTTCAATAGTGGTGCTGACAAGGTGGGGATGGGACCGGTGGGTGTTGCCCGGTGGATATTTACCAGTTTGAGACCAGCCGGGAGAAGGCTGTATACTGGCAGTGTTACTACCTCGTGTCGCACTCTTAATTTGTATTGTTCACGTGTTAGAATACATTGGTTGCATTTTCCCCACTAGTTATCTTACAGTGAAGGCGTCTAGTATTTGTGTCTGGGCACAAGCACCCTGGGGATATTACACTTAATGCAAGAACATTACTAGTAAGTACACACTCAAAGTGGTAACTCGGAGAGGGCCTTCGCTCCAAATGGCCCTCGTTTACACACACACGTCGGACTTATTTTGTGTATAATTTGTTCACTTGATATTAATGTATGTTACCTTAATTTATACAATTGACACAGGTTTTACAGAAAGCGCCATGGCATTGAATTTATCACCTTGACATTGACTTACCACCATGACATTGAATCTACCATCATGGCTTTGAATCTACCACCGTTGCATTGAAATTACCATCATTGCATTGAATCTACCACCATGACTTTGAACCTACCATTATGTCATTGAATCTACCACCATGGCATTGAACAAACCACTATTGCATTGAATATACAACCATTGCGTTGAATCTACCATCTACCACCATAGCATTGCATCTATCACCATGGCATCAATGCCATGCTCTCTCCCTGAAACCAATGACATTTCGTGCTTCGTCTAAAAGCCATTCCTCAAACAGCGTCACATAAAATCAAATCAATGCGTCACGGACACATTTCTCAGCTGTAAGATGGTCATTATTGACGTTTCTCTGACCACAGGATAAGGCCAGAACGGGCATGTAGAAGTCTGACCTGGCAATAACGACCGTACCACCCTTAATATTGTCAGTATGGGGCAGACCATTCTCGCCCGCTATAGGCAGACCAGATTGTTGCTTTACAATACCTGGTGGGTGATTTAACTTTCAATGGTCTAATTATGTTGACTCAAATATTTAAATATCATACAATAGATTCAAAATGTTAAAGTATTGGCAGCAAAATTAATTCTGCTGTGTGACTATGAAAGACTAGTACTGATATTCAGCAAACATGAGTAGTGGAGGAATACAGGGGCCACACTGCAAGGAGTGGAGAAGGAGGCGGACCACACTACAATGAATTGAGAGGGAGGCGGGCCGCACTGCAAGGAGTGGAGAGGGAGGCGGACCACACTACAGGGAGTGGAGAGGGAGGCGGGCCACACTACAGGGAGTGGAGAGGGAGGAGGGCCACACTGCAAGGAGTGGAGATGGAGGCGGGCCACACTACAAGGGGTAGAGAGGGAGGCGGGCCACACTACAGGGAGTGGAGAGGGAGGCGGCCCACTCTACAAGGAGTGGAGAGGGAGGAGGGCCACAATACAAGGGGTAGAGAGGGAGGCGGGCCACACTACAGGGAGTGGAGAGGGAGGAGGGCCACAATACAAGGAGTGGAGAGGGAGGAGGGCCACACTACAATTAATTGAGAGGGAGGCGGGCCACACCACAGGGAGTGGAGAGGGAGGCGGGCCACACTACAGGGAGTGGAGAGGGAGGCGGGCCACACTACAATGAATTGAGAGGGAGGCGGGCCGCACTGCAAGGAGTGGAGAGGGAGGCGGACCACACTACAGGGAGTGGAGAGGGAGGCGGGCCACACTACAGGGAGTGGAGAGGGAGGCGGCCCACTCTACAAGGAGTGGAGAGGGAGGAGGGCCACAATACAAGGGGTAGAGAGGGAGGCGGGCCACACTACAGGGAGTGGAGAGGGAGGAGGGCCACAATACAAGGAGTGGAGAGGGAGGAGGGCCACACTACAATTAATTGAGAGGGAGGCGGGCCACACCACAGGGAGTGGAGAGGGAGGCGGGCCACACTACAGGGAGTGGAGAGGGAGGCGGGCCACACTACAATGAATTGAGAGGGAGACGGGCCACACTACAAGGAGTTGACAAGGAAGCGGGCCGCACTACAATGAGTGGAGAGGGATTCGGGCCACACTACAAGGAGTGGAGAGGGATTCGGGCCACACTACAAGGAGTGGAGAGGGATTCGGGCCACACTACAAGGAGTGGAGAGAGAGGCAGGCCACACTACAGGGAGTGGAGAGAGAGGCGGGCCACACTACAGGGAGTGGAGAGGGAGGCGGGCCACACTACAGGGAGTGGAGAGGGAGGCGGGCCACACTACAGGGAGTGGAGAGGGAGGCGGGCCACACTACAGGGAGTGGAGAGGGAGGCGGGCCACACTACAGGGAGTGGAGAGGGAGGCGGGCCACACTGCAAGGAGTGGAGAGGGAGGCGGACCACACCACAGGGAGTGGAGAGGGAGGCGGGCCACACTACAGGGAGTGGAGAGGGAGGCGGGCCACACTGCAAGGAGTGGAGAGGGAGGCGGACCACACTACAGGGAGTGGAGAGGGAGGCGGGCCACACTACAGGGAGTGGAGAGGGAGGAGGGCCACACTGCAAGGAGTGGAGATGGAGGCGGGCCACACTACAAGGGGTAGAGAGGGAGGCGGGCCACACTACAGGGAGTGGAGAGGGAGGCGGGCCACACTACAGGGAGTGGAGAGGGAGGCGGACCACACTACAGGGAGTGGAGAGGGAGGCGGACCACACTACAGGGAGTGGAGAGGGAGGAGGGCCACTCTACAAGGGGTGGAGAGGGAGGCGGGCCACACTACAGGTAGTGGAGAGGGAGACGGGCCACACTACAGAGAGTGGAGAGGGAGGAGGGCCACTCTACAAGGGGTGGAGAGGGAGGCGGGCCACACTACAGGGAGTGGAGAGGGAGGACGGCCACACTGCAAGGAGTGGAGATGGAGGCGGGCCACACTACAAGGGGTAGAGAGGGAGGCGGGCCACACTACAGGGAGTGGAGAGGGAGGCGGCCCACTCTACAAGGAGTGGAGAGGGAGGAGGGCCACAATACAAGGAGTGGAGAGGGAGGAGGGCCACACTGCAAGGAGTGGCGAGGGAGGCGGACCACACCACAGGGAGTGGAGAGGGAGGGGGGCCACACCACAGGGAGTGGAGAGGGAGGAGGGCCACACTGCAAGGAGTGGCGAGGGAGGCGGACCACACCACAGGGAGTGGAGAGGGAGGCGGACCACACCACAGGGAGTGGAGAGGGAGGGGGGCCACACTACAGGGAGTGGAGAGGGAGGCGGGCCACACTACAGGGAGTGGAGAGGGAGGCGGGCCACACTACAGGGAGTGGAGAGGGAGGCGGCCCACACTACAATTAATTGAGAGGGAGGCGGGCCACACTACAATGAATTGAGGGGGAGACGGGCCGCACTACAATGAGTGGAGAGGGATTCGGGCCACACAACAAGGAGTGGAGAGGGATTCGGGCCACACTACAAGGAGTGGAGAGGGAGGCGGGCCACACTACAAGGAGTGGAGAGGGATTCGGGCCACACTACAAGGAGTGGAGAGGGAGGCGGGCCACACTACAGGGAGTGGAGAGAGAGGCGGGCCACACTACAGGGAGTGGAGAGGGAGGCGGGCCACACTACAGGGAGTGGAGAGAGAGGCGGGCCACACTACAGGGAGTGGAGAGGGAGGCGGGCCACACTACAACGAGTGGAGAGGGAGGCGGGCCACACTACAGGGAGTGGAGAGAGAGGCGGGCCACACTACAGGGAGTGGAGAGGGAGGCGGGCCACACTACAGGGAGTGGAGAGAGAGGCGGGCCACACTACAGGGAGTGGAGAGGGAGGCGGGCCACACTGCAAGGAGTGGAGAGGGAGGCGGACCACACTACAGGGAGTGGAGAGGGAGGCGGGCCACACTACAGGGAGTGGAGAGGGAGGCGGGCCACACTGCAAGGAGTGGAGAGGGAGGCGGACCACACTACAGGGAGTGGAGAGGGAGGCGGGCCACACGACAGGGAGTGGAGAGGGAGGAGGGCCACACTGCAAGGAGTGGAGATGGAGGCGGGCCACACAACAAGGGGTAGAGAGGGAGGCGGGCCACACTACAGGGAGTGGAGAGGGAGGCGGGCCACACTACAGGGAGTGGAGAGGGAGGCGGACCACACTACAGGGAGTGGAGAGGGAGGCGGACCACACTACAGGGAGTGGAGAGGGAGGCGGGCCACACTACAGGGAGTGGAGAGGGAGGCGGGCCACACTACAGGGAGTGGAGAGGAAGGCGGGCACACTACAGGGAGTGGAGAGGGAGGCGGACCACACTACAGTGAGTGGAGAGGGAGGCGGGCCACACTACAGGGAGTGGAGAGGGAGGCGGGCCACACTACAGAGAGTGGAGAAGGAGGCGGACCACAAAGAAACCTGCTACCACCAGAGCCACGACCACACCTGCTACCACCTGAGCCTCAACCACAACTGCTGCCATCAGAATCACAACCACCTCTCCTACCATCAGTCCCACAACCACACCAGCTACCAACAGAGCAACAACCACACCTACAAACATAGGAGCCACAATGACACCTGTTACCACCAGAGCCACAACAACACCTGCTACCACCAGACCAACAACCACACCAACTACCTTCAGAGCAACAATCAAACCTACGACCACAATAGCTACAACCACACCTCCTAACCTCAGAGCCACAACCACACCTGATACTATCAGAGCCACACCCACACCAGATAAAATCAGAGCCACCACCAAACCTGCTACCCTCAGAGACACAACCACAGTTGTTACCATCAGAGCAACAACCACACCTACTACCACCAGATCCACAACCATAATTAAAATCACCAGAGCCACAACCATAATTGCTACCACCATAGCCACAACCACACCAACTACTACCAGAGCCAAAACCACTCCTTCCACGAGAGCCACAACCATAATTGCTACCACCAGAGCCACAACCACACCAACTACTGCCAGAGCCAAAACCACTCCTTCCACGAGAGCCACAACCATAATTGCTACCACAAGAGCAACAACCCCAGCTACTACCAATGGAGCGACAACCACAACTGCTACCATCAAAGCACCAACCACACCTACTACTATCATAGAAATTAACACATCTGATATGATCAGAGCCACAACTACACTTGCTACCAACAGAGCCACAATAACACATGCTACCATTAGAGCCACAACACCTGCTACCATCAGAGTAACAACCAAACCTACAACCATAAGAGCCACAACCACACCTACTAACGTCAGAGTAACAACCACACCTGATACCTTCAGAGCCAGAACCATACCTGATACCATGAGAGCCACAACCACACCTCCAACCGTCAAAGCCACAACCACACCTGCTACCATCAGAGCCACAACCACATCTACTACCATCAGAGCCACAACCACATCTACTACCATCAGAGCCACAACCACATCTACTACCATCAGAGCCAGAACCACACCTTCCGTCAAAGCCAAAACCACACCTGCTTCCATCAGAGCCACAACCACACCTGCTACCATCAGAGCCAGAACCACACCTACTACCATCAGAGACAAAATCATACCTGCTACCATCAGTGCCACAACCACACCTGCTACCATCAGAGCCACAACCACACCTTCCGTCAAAGCCAAAACCGCACCTGCTACCATCAGAGCCACAACCACACCTGCTACCATCAGAGCCACAACCACACCTGATACCACCAGAGATACAACCACAACTGCTATCATCAAAGCCACAACCACACATGTTACCATCTGAGCAACATTAACAGCTGCTATCATCGGAGCCACAACCACACCTGCTGCCACAGGACCACAGGAGCCACACCCACACCTGCTACCATCAGAACCACAAACACAGCTGCTATCATCAGAGCCACAACCACACCTGCTACCGTCAGAGCCACAACCAAACCTGCCATAAACAGAGCTACAACAACACTAACTACCATCACAGCCGCAACCACAAGAGCCACAATGACACCTGCTACCACAAGAGTCAAAACCACACCTTCTACTACGAGAGCCTCAACCACAGCTGCTACCATCAGAGCCACAACCACACCTGCTACCACCAGACCTACAACCACAACTGCTACCACCAGAGCTACAACCACAACTGCTACCACCAGACCTACAACCACAACTGCTACCACCAGAGCTACAACCACATCTGCTACCAAAAGAACCACAACCACAACTGCTACAATTAGATCCATAACCACTCCAAGTACCACCAGGGCCCCAACCACACTTACAACCACATATTATTACATATAGCATTTTGAGCAATAAATAGCTCTAAATATCGTATGTGACTTTAGTCACGTCTCTATATGTCGTCTGCGACTTTAAAAACTCTCTATATGTGTCGTTTGCAACACTAAACAGCTCTCTATGTTTCGTCTACGACTCTAGACAGCTCTCTATATGTCGTCTGCGCTTCTAAACAGCTCTCTATATGTCGTTTTCGACTCTAGACAGCTCTCTATAGGTCGTCTGTGACTCTAGACAGCTCTCTATATGACATCTGTGCTTCTAAACAGCTCTCTATTTGCCGTCTGCGACTCTAAACATCTCTATATGTCATCTGCGACACTAGACGGCTCCCCCTATATGTCGTGTGCGACCCTAGACAGCTTTCCAAATGTCGTCTAGCTCTGTGACTCTAGACAGCTCTCTATATGTCGTCTGCGACTCTAAACAGCTCTCTATATGTCGTCTGCGACTCTAAACAGCTCTATATATGTCGTCGCGATTCTAGACAGTTCTCTATATATCGCCTGCGACGCTAGACAACTCTCTATATCTCGTCTGCGACTCTAGACAGCTCTCTATTTGTCGTCTGCGACTCTAGACAGTTCTCTATATGTCGTCTTCGACTCTAGATATTTTTCCTAACGTTGTCAACGACCCTAAACAGCCACGAACACAGCATGAGATATATATCACTACGACTATAGATCTGTGCCACATAAACAAGGAGCCGCCTGGTACACGGAGGGACTTAACGATCACATCCGCTCCCGACGATGGTGATTTGCATAATTTAGTTGCTAGCATTTACATTACATGCACCGAGCTGTTAACAACATCGTTTTTGCTAATACTAATATATAGTGAGTTGTATATTAAACATTTGAGTTCTGAAATGTAACGAGCAGTATGAAGAACAAATTTTTTGTTAGAAATAAAAAAAAAATCGAGGACAGGAAGCCTGTGAATATAGGTTTAACGAGGTCTCTCCTACGTCAACTACTGATCTTCCTAAAGACACAGTCCACAACATTTGCCTAACTCCAAGGCAACTATTTTACTGCTTGGTGAACAGGGGCTTCTCTCGTGCCCAGGGATTAAACTCAGTTCTGCAGAGTTGTTGTAAGCTGAGGACGCAGACCACTGGTCTACATGACCCATTGTTACGGTATCGATACCATTGTCAGAGTGTTGAGTGGCAATTTCAGCGCTGACTATGGGTCTGCACTCCAACTCCTTTAGTATTGGGCGCTATGTAGACAACGCCATCTATTGGTGGTGGCGTGGTGTTGGTGAATGGCTCCAGTTTCCTGCATTAGTCAGAAAGAGAGGTCGATGTGGGTGACCTCTGGTGGCTGGTGTATCAAGATCAGCGCCATCTAGGTTGTGGCTACAGAGCATAGTAACGATACCCCTGTGAGTGTTGTCCCAGGGTTACCCAGGGTACTATCCATCTAATTAATGACGTTTTATGTCCACGGAGGTGACATATAGAGGCGGTTGTACTGAGGAAGGCAGTTTACCTTGGGCAGTCCACGAACCCTTAGCTTCGTCCTGCAAGAAGAAAAGTATTCTACAAAAGTAGCCGCCGTCGATCCGGGCAGTGTGTGTTAGCTGCTGATATACGCAGTGTTGGTGAAGATCGGCTTACCCAGGATTGGCTAGCAAGGGTTATGGAAGACAGTGATGTGCCTATTGTGAAATGCTGCTAGCAAGCTGATAGAGGTTTCTGCCGGGTGTCTGCCTGTATGAGTTAGTTTTAGGACCCTTGTCAGCGTGTTACTGAAGCCCTCTGCCAATGAGTAGCTGGAGAGAGAGGGTGGGGTGTAGGCACCTCGTGATACTGTGTGGGTGGATTGTCCCATGTGGAAAGGTGAACTCGCCAGTGTTTGCCCGAACGAGTGGACAAGGTACTGGGACTGGAATCACTGGCGTTGATGAACACTGCTAAAGTATTTGTCCCGTGTGAAAGAGATGCTATTGTAAATAAGTGTAAATATACTTTAATATTTATATATATATATATATATATATATATATATATATATATATATATATATATATATATATATTGGTGAAGGGCATAGTCACACCCATGTATCAAAGTAAATGTAATTTTATTAAATTATCTAGTTGAAGAAGAGTATTGATTGCAAATTAAGAATATAGACATGAGTAAATATGGGAGAGCACTTGTTTAGTTACTTTATTAAGGCGTCCGATATATTTCTGTGTAAGGAGATACAGAGGGGATTCGGCTACCTTTTACTATCAGGACTCTAATACCGCATCGCATTTTAACTTATAAGTCCCCCAAACGGCCAATATATGATGTGATATAAATCATAGCGGCTCGCAAAAGGCCCGGGCTGTCAAGGTTCCTATCTATGGGTCCTCGGGTGGGTTAGGTTTGGGCAACTTAATACATCATTTTTTGTGTTGTTGTTTCAACTAGAGAGAAAGATCTGCATTACAGCCGTCCACTGTTGAACGGTAAACCTGCTCACTTTCCAACATTCACCTGTTAAAAAAAATCATATCTTAAGAATGTTAAAATTGTAAAATCTGACCGTAAACAACAAATCTAAATTGCATAACAAAAATTACTTGCGTCGAGGTCGGGATACCAGACATGGCTTTACCTAACATCGGAGGGGTTACATCTGATGGTCTTGTTGGCAATGCCAACAGCTTCACAACAGTTCAGTCACTACTGACACAAAAAATTTAAATTTCATGAAATTCGATAAATTAATCAAATATATATATATATATGTATGTATGTATGTATGTATGTATATATATGTATGTATATATATATATGTCGTACCTAGTAGCCAGAACACACTTCTCTGCCTACTATGCAAGGCCCGATTTGCCTAATAAGCCAAGTTTTCATGTATTGTTTTTTTGACTACCTAACCTACCTAACCTAACTTTTTCGGCTACCTAACCTAACCTAACCTATAAAGATAGGTTAGGTTAGGTTAGGTAGGGTTGGTTAGGTTCGGTCATATATCTACGTTAATTTTAACTCGAATAAAAAAAAATTGACCTTATACATAATGAAATGAGTAGCTTTATCATTTCATAAGAAAAAAATTAGAGAAAATAAATTATTTCAGGAAAACTTGGCTTATTAGGCAAATCGGGCCTTGCATAGTAGGCAAAAAAGTGCGTTCTGGCTACTAGGTACGACATATATATATATATATATATATATATATATATATATATATATATATATATATATATATATACATGAAAACACCTATAAAACCTTTTTCCAAGAAGTTCCATTGAAAAATATGCGGTTATTCATAATCGTTCCCAAAAAAATTATAATATATAATATTCGATTTTGTAGTAAAGATTTTCTCTCTCTCAAGTGCGTAAGTTTACACGTACCACCCCCTCCCCGCTCAGCTCGTTGTCGCCGTGTGGGGGCTTAGTGGGCGGCTGCCGGAGTGTGATGCTCCTTGGGACAGTCCTCTGTCCTTTTCTAGCCTTGTGCTCCTGCTGCCGTCCTCTCCAGTTCTGCTGGGCACCTTTTCCTTTTCCTTCTGTTTCGTTTTTCTCCCCCCTCTTCTCCTATCTGCTTGCCGTTTCCTGCCGACCTTTTGCTTGTTCTGGTTCTTCCCTTGGACTTCTTCTATTTTGACGCCCGGGTGCTTGAGGAGGCATACTCTTGCACCCGTAGAACTGTAGTACCTAACGTCGAGAGCGAGGGGAACCTTTTATTGTCAATCCCCCTTTCGTCACTGAACCCGATCTCGACGGACTGTCGGTTTCTTAAGGTGGCGTTTGTGGGGCGTATACACACGACGCACCCCTAGGAGGCCCCGGCAAGATCGGCGATAGCTTCTTGTTGGGTGTCCTGCCTCTAATTGTGGCTCGAAGAACGCTCAATTGAATGCCAGTGTTGGCATTATTTTGCTTCCGCCCCATGTTGCGACCGGTGTTCGGGACCTGCGCGACTGCCACGACGATATTCGA